CCCGGGCGTCTATCCGGGCACAAGTTGGGGTGCCCGGGCGCCCGGAAAAAAAAAAACCTAGCTTTTTATATATTTTTGTTGATGGGTTTAGTAATTAATTGTTGCCCATCGAAGGGCAATTGCAATTACTGTAATTTGAGTAATTATGAAATAATTAATTATATATTTTACTATGAGGACCTGGACATGCCGGAATGAATCAGGGCATACTCACACTAGGCCCTCTTATACAAAGCTCTGGACGTGATTGCAGTCAGATTCATCCACCTCAGGCCGTAATTGCAGTCAGATGCATTTTTGAAAAGTCCGAGGTAGTGTGTATAGAGTATGCATGCCCTCGGAAACAGAATTGTTGCCAAACAAGACGGACGACTGCAAATGGAAGAAAAGGACCGATCGAATCTTTTGTAAAAAAGCAAAAAACGAAAAAAACAAAACAAAACAAAGGGCCGATTGCAAAACGGAAACAGGGCCGATTGCGAACGGCTCCTTCTGGATATCCGTTTTTTTTTAATTTTTATAAATACATATATATTTATTTATTTTATATATATATTGTCACATGATATCGGAGCGCCAAAGCGAAAAAACAGAAAGAAAACAAGCAAAACAAAAAAAAACTTGTTTTTCATCTTCTTCCTTACAAGACTCCCCCTGTTCAGAAAGAACCTCTTGCGTACAAGGCCGCCCACGTGGATGTAGGTTGAGCGGCGCCTGCCCCCCCCAACCCCGTGGGTCATACCGACCCACTTGCACACAGCCAAAAGGCAAAGAGGCAAAGAGGCCAAGAAGAGAGGAAGGGAACAGCCAAATAAAACAGACAGAACAGGGGGCAACAAAACATATCCCAGATGACAAGTCCCCCATGCAAGCACCGCCCCCAGTCCTACACTGGCCAAAAAAACGACGGGACAAGACCAACCAGGATGTCAAAACATTCTTGTCTGCAAAGAAATCAAGAAAAGTACCAAAAAGAACCCATCCCGGATGACGATTCCCACGTACAAGCTCCGCCCCGCGCTCAAAGGGCCGAACAACGGGAAACAACCAACCAGGATGCCAAGACAATAAAAAAAAAACCGGATGACTGGTCCCACATGAAGGACCGCTACCTGCAGTAACATAGACCGAATATATCCGTTAAAATTGGAACGATACAGAGAAGGTGTATTAGCATGGCCCCCTGCCCAAGGATAACACGCATAAATCGAGAAGAAAAAAAGGAAAAGTAAAAAAAAGCAAACAATCTGGCCGTTGCAAACACAAACAACGCCGATTGCAAACGGAAAGAAAGGGCTGATTGCAAACGGGAAAAAACGCACATTGCAAACGCAAACGCAAACGCAACGCAACGCGACTCTTAACCCAAACGGCGCCGATTGCTAACGGTAACAACCCCTATTTGATAAATGGAAAATCCACCGATTGTTTTTTTAAAAAGGCTAATTCTTTAAGCCCAACCAATTCAATTACCTGTCAAATCTGGACAGGACGGCCTTTCAGGCCTTTTTTTTATTGTCATTACTAATTAGAGTATTACGGAGGACCCCGTAGCAAAAATCCGCCGATTGCAAACGGGTAGAACGCCGATTGATTAAAAAAAAAAAAAAAAAAAAAAACCAAAACGCTGATTGCAAACGGAACGCTAGACAACGCCGATGGCAAACGGAACGGTTGAAAAAATCTCCGATTGCAAACGGAACGGTTGAAAAACGCGCCGATTGCAAACGGAACGGTTGAGAAAAGCACCGATTGCAAACGGAACGGTTGAAAAGAGCGCCGATTGCAAACGGAACGGTTGAAAAGAGCGCCGATTGCGAACGGAACCTGGAAAACGCCGACGACAAACGCAACGGTTGAAAAAAGCGCCGATTGCAAACGCAACGGTTAAAAAAAGCGCCGATTGCAAACGTGAAAAACGCCTATTGTGATCGGCAAATAACGTCAATTTCAAATTGCAAATAAGTTGGAAATAACGTCATTGAAAAAAAGAAAAAAAGAAAAAAAGAAAGAAGGAAATAACGTCATTTACTAATTGCAATCGGGCCAAGGCTAAGCTTGATGGCTCAAATCCCTTTTTCCGCTGGCACACAACACCGATTGCAACCGGCCAATAAAATA